AGAGTCGTTAAAGCCTTCCTTAATGATCCTAACGATGATCAAACCTGCTAATCAACCGTCACACTTTTTTGTACATTGCTCTTGTTTTCCTCCAAGAAAAGCCACTCGACTGCCATGGTTAGTATTCTTGATTCTGGACCCCACAACAAGTGCCTATATCATTTCCAGATCCCCCTGGAAGACCCCTTACACCAACCGTTCTGACAGCTGCTAGCTTCTGAGTGCACTGCGAGAAACTGTTTCCAAAAGAGCTAACAAATTACCACACTTTTCATTCACACGGTTAATAAATCATTCTATCACTGATCAGGAGTTATTATCCCATTTTAAAATATCAAAAGATGATCGTCTTTTTTCTCCAAGTGATCTCCTTTAGATTGGGTGCCTGGTGGTCACTCGAAGACTTGAAGAGCGCCTTGCCTGTCACATGACTGTCTTCAGGAGCAGCTCTTCTCCAGCTTCTGTTGCCTTTTTCTCCGGCATTAATTAAAACATCGACACACACACTCTCACAGTCTTGGTAAGGAAAATTGCTCGCCTGGGAGCGATGCAAAAAAAAGAGTGTCGTAAAAGGAAATTGGCTGCTTTACCTTTGAGAGGCTGGCAAAAATTCTCGTAAACAATTTGCACTTTTAATGAGCCAAAACAAAGCGTAACACACGCACAACCAGCACACACGACCGCCGTTAAGATTCCGATCTGCCGTTTAATTAGTCGGAACCGTTGATTTATTTTCCTTTTTTCTGCTACTTCAGTATTTTGTAACTCACAAATCGAGGCGAGGTTGACAAGTGTACTTCGATTTTCCGTCTCAGCGACATTCGTTGTTGACCGATCGAGCGACGCTCGAGAACTGTTTTCGCAGCGAGTGTTGGGAAGCAACGACCGTAAGATCGTAAGCCTATCGATAGTAGTTGACTGACGTCGTCGTCGTTGTCGTCGTCGTCGTCGTCGTCGGTTATCGAAGTGATCCCAAACCCAAACCCAAACACAAGTCCAAGCCAAACCAAACCAAACCGAACCCCAGAAGCGTTTGCCTGTCGTTCGTCTGTGGTTGTCGCTTAAATTAAAACTCGGAATTCGGCTGAAACCAGTTGGGGGCACGCACACGACTTCACCAGAACTAAGAGTCTATATACTATAAATTCATATCAATATGTCTACGCCCCGCCTGTGATTCGTGCGTTGGCCCGGCGATCGTTTAAATAAAATAATAGTAGCACTCACACACACACACACTCTGACGGAAAAATTGCATTGGCGGCGATCTAATTGCTGGCTGGCATGCTAGAACGAAAAGCGTTTCGGGGCAAAAAGCAACAAATAACGACGCCATCTAGTATCGAAAGTATTTACTTCCAGGCTCACGCACCAGCCACCGGCTCTGGCGACTCCACAGATCCCCTACTTGCATATTCATGAACCGCTCTAGGCAGTCCGGATGGCTTAGCTTCGCAGGCAATTTAAAGGATATTCGATTGACATCTTAATAGGCGGTAGCACTGGCAGGTTGAATTTTGAATAAGAGTAAGATCAATGAACCTCTATAAAATCAACACTAGAAAAGCAAATCATCCTTCTAAGACATAAAAACTATTCAAATAATGTTTTTTCTATATGACATTGTAGTAAATTTACAGAAAACAGGGCTCTTTCTACTGTTAATTAAGTTTTCACCATATATCACGTATACGACAGGTGGGCACCGTAAAGTGCACGTTACGAAAGAGGAACTGACTCATTCCAATTCCATTTTGCTCCAAAAAGCTCCCCCCTTAGCACACTTTTCGAATACTTTAAGCCATTCTTAATTTACATGCCCCTGCAAAATATTACGCATACGCCGTGTTGACAGTCCACGGCAATTTATCGTTAACTATACCCTCTGGATGATTTAGTGCGGATCACTTCATAAATCACATCCTGTAGCTCATGCCGAATTTCGCCACAGCCAAATCGTTCACTGCTTATTCTCTTTTTTATGTCATAATTACAAAAGCCTGTTAGCCGCTACTTGTGCGGAAAACGCTTAGGGAAACTGATTTATTTATTACAAACAATATTACGAGACTTGTAAACAAAGCAGAACTGGAAAACTTATCAACTGATCAAGGACCGAACAGGGGGAAAAGTGTGGAGAGGCGGGTCAAGCAGAGCATTCAACTATCATTTGGCGTGGGACGTGATTTGAGCAAAAATCAAAACATTATTAAATTGTTTACATTGAAATTCATTTGCAAGCCCCAACGAAAGTGCCGTTGAAGATTTTCAAGCACTGAGCAAAGATTTTAACATTTTTGAAATACTTTTTATTAATTTTTACTAATATTTTACTATAAGCCTTAAGCTTACAACCTTCTTAAAATTAAATTAAATATTACATAATTATTTCATATTCTTTATGTGGAATTCAACTAGGTTATATCTTTTTTGGGGTGATACGCATTAGGCACTTGTTTTCCATTATTTTTTTGTGTGGATACAAAAAGGAAAAAGCATTTCCATGCTTGGTCAATTGAGTTGATTGGCAGACAGTGTCGCCCTGAAGGGGGTTTAAGGTATTCAAATTAGTATAGTTTGATTTTCAGCAACAAGACGTTTTCTATCAATATGTCATGCAGTGGAATAGCTCAAAAATAAACTTTTTGATAAGGTTTTCTTGAATTGACTAATTTATTTATAGAAAATCAAGTAAACAAGTGATTCATCTTGTTTTCGGTTACTAAAAAGAAACATTTGAATCCACGAGAATATTAACCCCTCTAGCAAGTCCACCCCTGATTATCCAAATGGCTTGCGTTTATATTTTTTAGATTGCCCCGATACAAGTTGTTGCTGTCACTCGATTTTATTTGTATTTGGCGACATTGACGCTATTGATAAGGCATGGGAGTCATGAGAGCCGGCAGTGAGCGTGGGTTATAATTATATATATTTTATTTAATTGCTGCAATCGGAATGGAAAGGTTATTTGGGCGGCAACAGAGCAGTGACAGCACCCGCCCAGTTTTTGCTTTTTATTGTTGCTAAATGCAATTTCCTAACACGGTATATAAACTTAATGGACAAGTTTTGTTATTACTAAGTATTTATTTCTTGATATATTAAAATTCAGATTAAAGTTCAATGTAATAATTTTAAAAAACATCAAAAATATTTCCTTAATGTTTGTATCTATATTAAATAACCGTTATAATTATTTTACATTTACGAAGCGATAATAAAGCTTATAAAAGCTTATTCTTCGCAAGCTTTTGCTGTTGGTGATGACACCGAAAACGAATATATCGATAAGCAAAACCATGTGTATAAATAGCAAAAAATAACATAAAATATGCCTACAACTTTCCCTGCATTGATTTCTTTCCATAATCTATTGTTTTGGAAGCTTTCAAGTTCATTGAGAGTTCCGCAAATTACCTACAAACATGTCAAGGAAATCATCAACAGATGTTTTCAAGATCGGAGCGAATGGAAGAGAATGAATAAGAGGTTCTTTGCTGAGAGCAGCATAATAAGGTACTCTTAAGTAAGAGCACAAGAACTCTCTTCGGATAAACAAGTTTCATTGATGAAAAATCAAATTGGTGTTAATTTTTTCGCAAATTGATTGGCGTGGCGTTTTTCTTTGTTGTTTTTACTGTTGAAAATTTGTCAAGTTGACATAAATTTGATAGGCAGCTTACCCAAGACTTTGCCTCGCGAAATGCGACCTGAAAGAGGGGCACGTCTTCGAAAAGAAGAGCTTCCAAAATCGTTCGGCGGGTAAAATTGCAATTTGTTATGGCTGTGGGGATGAATGCGAGAATGCGAGGGGAAAATAACGCTCAGATTCGAAAATTTGACAAAACTGTTTATTTTACGTGCTATTAATGGGCAGAATGGCTTGCCAAATGAATTTTTGGAAAAAGCAAACAAATCGAAATTACTGTTTACTACCAGATATACAAAAATTATGATTTATGATATCGAAGGTGGAATGATCATTAAGGAATGGAATTAATAAATAAAACCTATTAAAATATCCAAGTCCTTTTGTTGTTAATTGTTTATTCTCAACACCTTTTGTCATATCTTTTTGCACAAAAGAGTTCTTTATTTTCTCGAAAACTCTAAACTCCGCCATTACCCACACTTCCAGCTCAGATAAGAATATATCACCTTTCAGACCAGGAGTCCAGTTCCCTATTGCGACTTAGCTTTCAAGAATAGAAGCCACCGAAAGTCATGCAAATAAAGTTTGCAGTTTAGTTCTCCCCTTTCGAGCAAAAGTTGTGCAACTTCTAGAATTTCCTCCGATAAGGGAACCCTTTCCCTATAATTAACCAATATATATTTCTATACTCGAAATCTGCGCAGTTGTAAAACAGCGACTATACACCCTCACACCTTCAACGGATCGAACACAAATCGCATTTTTAATGGCACCAAGTGTCTGATGTTTTTCACTGTTGCCTGGTTGGTTTGTTTGTTGGTTAAACTTTATGACAAAAAGCTAAAAATAAACTAGCAAACAAAGCGGAAAATGAACAGCAATAACCAAAACAACAACCGAGCTTTGTTTCCCTATGAATGTGCCATAACAATCAACACAAAGGAATGTGCTTAAGCTTGCAAGGAACTACAGATAAAGAGATCCCCGGACTTATCCTTGGAGTCTCCTTCAAAATGGGCTCTATAATAAAACCCAAATACAAGATTACATCCTAAAGCTATTTTCAGGGTCTTGAATTGCTATTTGACTTAAGAAACTCAAAGACCCTGAGCCTTAATTGTGTATTCCAGGCACGGCGAAGAAAGAGACAGCACTACAGATGGCAAAGGGGAGGGCTATATGGACTAAGGTGACTTAAGGGCGCCACCGCAAAAAATATTTAAAGGCCGAAACGGTTGTGCAATCGCAAAATTCGTAGGCGGCATAAATCCATAAATAAACAATAATAAATAAGCTGTTGTTCAACAAACAGCGGACAGTAATTGCATATTAAAATGGGACTTACATGTTGGACGAACAGTGAAGAAATTCCAGAGGCGAAATAAAGTCCCAGAGAATCGCTCTCTTCTCCTCCTGCTGCTTCTTGGTGTTGTGGCGATCAGCCGGCTTTTGCGAAGAAAGTTTCTTGGCTTCCACTTGTTGATTCGATGCGCTCTCTCGCTCGCGCACTCTTCGGCTTCCTCGTTAATTTAATTCACAGGAAGCACAGAATTAAGGCCGAAAATATATAAATTAAATGCAGGCGGCACACGGAACTTCGTCGTCAATTCAGAGAGCCTGCACTTTTGTTTTCTCGAGTCTTTTCACTTGCGTTTCTATGAAATTGGGCATTAAATTTAAATGCTATTAGCCGCAGAACACGAAAGATTGGGAAATGGAGGAGAGGCCGAGAAAGTCAACGGGAGAGCGATCCAATCTCTCCCTTTCGCTCATTCATCGCTGTTATTGTTATCACCTGAGTCAAGTACAGTGGGACCTTTTGTTAAATTATGTTGCAGACTTAATGGCTTACAAATTTTTGAGGTTATTACGTATGAGTCATAACTATTTGCTTTTTTAAATATTTAAAATGCGTTTAGGTTTATATATCCTCTCTATATCAGTAGCTTTTTTAATCCACATGTTTTAATATCTAATTTTATATTGTCAAATTTATAAAAATGTTTTTTGCATTTTTATTTTTTTTATTTTTTATTTTTTATTTTAATTTTTTTAAAAAACTATATTCCAGGACCCACTGTACTGCTGCCACTCTCCCACTCTCTCGCTCTCCTTTTATCGGGCACGCTCTTTTGATTTCAACTTGCTCTCTCGCTCCGCATAGTTTGGCTTGTTGTTGCTTCTGCCAGCGTAGCGTAGTTAACTTGAGCAGCAGCAACAACAACAGCAATACTTGTTGCTAAAAATAGAAGCGCGGCGGCGAGACAGAAACAGAAAACAGAAAAACAGCAGCGGCGGAAAAAAAATATAAAAAAGCGAAGGCGGCAACGCGCACAAATTGGAAAAAATGGTAAATGCCGAGCAACAAAAACTAGGAGTAAGTAACAGAGTAAGAAGAAGACGAGTAGTTACAACAACAACAAGTGAGCTTCTACTAAAATGTATAGAAGAAAGGCGAAGAGGAAGACTGGCAAAGAAGGAAATGCGACGCAAAAATGCAGTCCAAAGAGACAGAGAAAGAGAGTGAGTTGGAAAATGCATTGATCGATGCCTTGAGAAATGTTAATTTAATGGGAATTTTGTAGGAATAATTTGTCCCAAAAATGCTTCATGCTTAAGTGCGAAAGAAAAAGCGTGGAAGAAACAAGTGATTTTCCATGCATTTAATTGCAGGCTGCATTTTAATTAATTAATGTTCAACTCTGAAATCACAAACTAACAGAGAGCTGCTCTCCCGCTCTCTCTGAGGCCATTCCCACTCCCTTTCCACTCTCTTCTTTTAGTGCATTTCACTGAAACTGCATTCACATTTCACGTTTCCCCGACATTCAGTCAACTTTAACCATTGCCTTTGTTTTAATTACTTTCTAAGGCAAATAGTTGCACATATGGAAAGCGCTAGTTGTTGTTTTTAGCATTCAGAATTGAGCACAAATGCTAGATCGTACGACTAGCGGAAAGCAGCAACAACTAACCAAGTGGCACGCACACACAGATACGCGAATCGTCACACCGATTCAAACCGCCGAATTGGATCGTGATGTGGAGCCCGCGAGAGTGAAAAGCAATCTGAGCACTCAGCGCAATGGAAAAGTTAGTCGAGCTGTGTTCGATGAGCTGAGAGCGCAACAAAGAGAGCGACACTGAAAGAGCGCGAGAGCGAGAAATCGTAATCAGCAGCAGGTAGATACAGTGAGACTCCATTTGGCAGGAACAGTAAAAAATCAAATGATTCTGTAATTCCGGTTAATGCCCTTTCTTTATTAATAAGAAAATATTGAAAATATGGAAATGATTATGAAAACAAACCGCTGTAAGTTCTTTGATATTCGTTCACAGAATTTTCTGATCTCTTTGGCAAATAAAGAGTCTGGGGATATTACAAGAGCGCAGATAAGTGAAGTTCAGGTGCAGAGCAACGCAGTGGTCATTGCTATCGATGTCAGGGAGGTCCTTGGGATTCCACTGGAGGAATTCAGCTGGCTTGTTGGAGTCCACGTACCGGAATTCGTTCTTGTTGTGGAAATTGCTGATGCCCAGCCAGTAGGGTGATCCTGCATTAACTTTCGCGTTGATGGCGTCGAACTCCTCTTGGTTTTGGAAGTACGCTAGATGCCCTCCGATCAGACGACACGCGTCCTGCGATGCATTCCAACTTCTAGCAACTTCTTTTTCAATAAAGAAACACTTTGAGCCGACTTTCTCGCAAGCTGTAGAATTTGAAATCGTAGGACTCGGAGCATAAGTATTCGATTGTATTTGATTTTGTAGCTTTTCCTGCAGCCTGTCCAAGTTCTTCTGATTGTCCTCCATGTGCTTAACGATTCTCTCCCACATCTTTTTATTGGACTCCATAGAATCTTCAACTTTTTTAAGCGTATCCTACAAAGATTTCGGTTTACTTTCGACCTTGAAATGGGTTCTAATTTGACTTACCCTCAACCTGGCCATGTGATCGAAGATTGGAAACAATGCTGCTTGGCAGTAGGCCCCGCACTGGTTGGGTGCGTCCGTCAGGCGACAAATGGAATCTGTCTCTTCTTGGAATTTAGGTGGAGATCCATGGCAATCCAGTGCACACAGCACGCACAATATTAAGGTACTGGATTTAAGCATGCTCGAAATCTACAACCAGTCAAGACAAAGGTCTCCGAGCGACTGATCCTGGGGATGTTCACCCATCACCAAGAGAACTCCAGTTCTTGGAAAAATGATCAATTTAAATTGGAATTAATTGATTGGATGGGTCATGGAATGACAGTTCTTCACAATGGAACTGTAAAGAGGCATTCTTAATTAAGGATTGTATAGGTTTATAGCCCGAACTGCAACCATAAATATGTTAATTAACGCGTGGGTACTAAAAATCTGTTGGAACTAGCTAGTAAGTAATCATTTTCTTAGTATTAATTCTCTCATAAGCAATCGGTTCCATTAATAACAGCGTTTGGTGATAATACCTGTGCATGCACTCATCTCAAAAGTCGGTCAAGATCGATCTCAACTTAATCCCGAATTATGAATTAGTTAAGATTTTGCTGAAGGAGCTTTGTTAGCTGGTTGGCTCTTTATTAGCGCTACTACTTATCAATGCCGTGTGTGCTTTTGGAACTAAACTCACGCAGCGCCGTTTTACCTCTTAAGTAGCGTGTTTGCTTTAAGAACTACTTACAATTTACTTTGGCGCTTTAGTTACTGTATATTTTACATTTCATTCTACATGTAAGTGTTTACATTTTCCCTGAAAGTGGGCGTGACTTCCTTTTTATGCCTTCTTAGCCATTTTCTGATAGTAAATAGGGGCGGAGCATGTTGAAGAGAAAAGTTCCCAAAGGGGAATTTATTACTGGGAAATTATTCAGTATTCTAACGGATATTTTGGATTTGCAAAATATTTCAAATATTTCAAAATCTTAAATAAAATGGAAATTCACAAGGCCTGACAAGAAAAATATGCAATCTTAATGTGATAAATATCGTTAGTTTTTCGTACCTTTTCGCAATAATTATCTGTTAGAAAAGTTTAAGTTTTCTTATTTTTATACAACTTTTCTTACAATGAATAAGGAAAAAAGGATCTATGGAAAGGAATTTCCCTTAAGGAGGCGTTTCAGACTTGAGAGCTCCCACCCCCAGTATTTTGCCACCCCTCTGCCTCTGCCGCTGCCGCAGTCGACTTCGCCGGGAGAGAGAGAGATGGCAACTGGGAGAAAGGACAATGCCAGAAAGTAAGCGGTGAGAAAGGGCAAGGGGAAAGTAGAGGAAAAGTGAGGCGGCAGCAAAAGTTGATTAGATGGATTTCGTTTGGTTTTTGTGTTTTTAATCACACACCAATTTCATTTATTAAATCTTCGCATCAGCATTTCATTTCTCGCATTCCCGTTCTCTTTCTGCCTTTCTCTCTCCTCTCTCTCTCGCTGTCTCTTTCCCTTGTGGAGTGTGTTTCTTTTTTGGCTTTGCGACGGCATTTTTGTTTTTCCCTTACCGTTGGTTTTGCTGCTTCAGTTTGGCCTTCTCTTTTTCTCACACACTTGTTTGTTTGTTTGCTGTTTTCTCTTTCGCTCATTGTCACGACCAATTTGACTCTCTCCCTCCTCACTCCTCTTCTCTTTTCCTCTTTCTGGCCCGGGCGAAACTTTTTGCAAAATGAAATTGTTTTCGTATTAACAATTTCATTAAAATTAAATTACTTTTATTATTCCGACAGAATCAGACGAATGAAAAGAGAAAGAGGCAGCCTCCCCCTCCCTGCCCAACCCACTCTCGCCCCCTTTAAACCCCTTTGCCACCCTCTGCGTTAAACCAAAAGCTTGGCGTCTGTTTTCCTCAGCTGTCAAACAAATTAATTGCTCTTTTAATTGATTTCGTTGACTTTGAGAGAAGAGAGAGTTATTCGAAATGGAGGATATATCTATGATATGGAGATCCGAAGATCTTTTGTAGATTTGATTATTATGGAAGATTAAGATGGAAGGAACATTTCTTATGCTTTGATCTATAGTTTTATGGAAATATATACTCTAAGGATTATGTATTCTTCTAATAACTAACTTGATAAATGTTTATTAAAAAACAGATTAATAGATTAATAATTTATTTGGTTCAATCTTTTTCTTAATAAATCTAAAAAATGGACCTAAGAACCCGTAGACCTTTCATCCAAACCAATAATTTAAGTAATACCTTTGATATATTTTCAGCAAAAAGCACTTATCGCCTGCAATAAAAACAAAACGCATCGTAAATAAAAAATTCTCCACTTAGGCTCAGCCGTGTAATAAATAAAATATCATAAATGCGAAACTCTCCACGCCACTCTCCACACTTCCGAGTAAATAGCTTTGAATGAGCCCCCATCCACGTCCCTTTCAGCCGCAGCTCCTTTCACTCTAATTCTGTTTAGCCATTTATTTTATTTAGGCATTTCATAGAGCGATTACCATGCCACGCCGCCTTGCCCCAATTCGATTCCCAAATTGTGGCCGATGACTTGCCTCCAAATGGCTTCTCGGGGAGCTTTTCTTCAGCCTCTTTTAGCAAAATGATGCGTAGGCCATAAAACCGAAAGGGCAGCAGCGATGGAGTCTTGGCCATTTGCTAAGGCGCTGGGCGTGGCTCTGGCCCCTTACCCACTCCATCAACCACAACAATAAATATACACTTGTGCAAATTCAGGAAGTTTACTAGAAACTCTACGTTTTATTTTTAGAGAAAGTTATTAGATTAACATTTGTTAAACTTCTTTTCCGTTTTCTTTAAATAAATTTTCCTTTATTTTAAACATTTTTAAATATATTTTACAATAACATAAGTTTTTCTTTTGCGCGTAAAACAGTTTTTGATGACGCCAATAAATTTTCCAGCCGCTTTTCATGCCTACGAATGCGAGTGGAAATGTCGCATCATAAATAAACGGGAATCGTTAGGTGAGTTTGTCGGGGAAGGGTCTCGGGGTTGGGCTGTTGAGGAAGGGAGGGTTTTCGTGCAGGAGAAGTGGCCTTCAAATAAACCGCAATGCAATTTGGCCTAAAAGAAGTTAATAAAATTTCAGTGGACGAAAAGGGGACTTCTGATGATTTTCCAAGTGCTTATATCTGAGTACTTATGAAGACAAAGGCGTGCCAGTAAGGGGTATCATCAGTTACTCTAACTTTTATGAGAGTAAATCTTATTAAAAAGTTTATATTTTCATATAAGTTTCTAATATTAATAATAATAATAATATTAATAATAGTCATTCCTTAAGATCCATTCCTTAAGAGTCCAAAGAAGTTAAAAACCCCCAAACTTCCCCCACTCTACGCCTCTGTCGTATACTTTCCCGCTCCTCCATTTCTCGCTGTCCCTTTCAGGCGGCTATTCATTTTCGGAGGCTGCGCCATTTTGGCTTGGAAAATTTATAAACGTAATTGAGAAGCCTTCGCCGCAGCACTTTTGCCCACCGTTTTCCCACCCACCCTCAATTTTCGCCACCCAACTGGCCGCACGTAAAATGCATTAACTGCTGCTTCTGGCCTCGTCCTGGTCCCGGATCAGGATCCGGATCCGGATCCGGTTACAGTTGCGGGTTTTCACTCCTGCCAAGAGTCCGAGGCACTCGCAATTTGGTTTTCGAAAAATAAGCAATTTGTAAATTGAAAATGGTCGTTCCAGGGGCCAAATGGGGGGCTTCGGGGGGTGAAATTGCAGTTACATGCGGCCATTTACTACGTGGGCGGTGGGATGTGGGCGTGGCAGGCTAGAACTGGCTTCGCGGAAGCTGGAAATTAATTATTTGCCATTAGGGCTAAGTAGATGATATAAAAAGTGGCAGCAAAGCGTGCTCCAAGAGGGTTAGCGAGGGGGCGGGGAGGGGTCTTGGCTATTGAGGCGGTTTTCCCCGTGGGTGGGGCCAAGTTCTGCAGGCAATTTAGACAGTCAAGTGCCCATATAAATTACATAAATTCCACCCAGGAACTGCCAGGCACCGGGAAAATGGTGGAAAAGGGATAATAAATAAGTGCTTTAGTAGAAAATGTGCAGGATTGTTAGAAGAAGAAGAGCCAGGAGAAAGCCTGAGCTGGCCACTTACTAAAGTTCTTAATAAACGCGACTCTACTAAGTCACTTTGGTAGAGTTATCCGCTAAATACCGCTTGAAATAAGAGAAATGCAACTGCAATGAGAAAGAAGATTAAGAAACTTTCTAATCTTTAGTACCCCTGATTAACGGCAACAAAATAGCAAATAAGTACAACCCCTAGTCAGCAGACTTACTTAATCAATGCACTTAATCTCATAACTAATATCTAACCGATAGCCGAGAGAAAACCTGCAGCCAAAGTGGAAAATGCAATGCAAGGACCATGAAAAATCTCTTTTCTCTGCCGAATCGCAGGCACCTCACCTGCCCAAGGAAGAGGCGTTAGGAGCCGAGTGCCACGACTTCTCTCTGGCGTCCAAAACGAATCCCAGACTCATCTATTATGGAGCAAGTAATTCCACTAAAACGAACCGACCAAGAAAAGCCCCAGAAAATGGAGAGGGAGTGCAAAATAAATACAATCAAAGAGGACAAAACAAAATTTAAGCGCAAAATGAAATGAAATTCGGATTGGAAATGAAACTAAAATACAAACTAATGATGGGAGAACGTGAGAGGGGGTGGGGTCTGTGTGGGGGGAGAGGGAGGAAGTAAGCTAACAATAGACAAAGTCATAAATCAGGGCGCCAATTTGCAGGCCTGACAGGCATCCCCCCGAAGAGCAAGGAGCGCGGGAGTCCTGGGGAAAAACGTAGGGAGAAGACAGAAGAAACTGAATAGTTATCCTGCACGCCCAAAATGCCAAATCTAGAGATGCACTGAAATGAATGTATTAGGAAATTGCGGAAAATTGAATACAAGGAAACATGTTCGAAAAATAGATGGCGTTATACGCAGTTTACTTAGGTCAGAGCTCTTCATGTTACAAACCCTTAAGATTTACTTTATTTATTTATTTATTTATTAAATAATATTAGATCTTTAAAGTAGGGCACATTAATAGGTTTTCCATTTTGGGGAACTGTATCCTTATCACTTTTTTTTTCAGTGCATAAATGGGCAGTGTAGGGACTGCAGGAGGCAACAAATTCATTTCGTAATTGTGGCCAACGAGCCAAGGGGTGAAAGGGGGTTGGTGGCTGAGGGCCGGCGGCCAGGGGCGTGGACGGGGGCGAAGGACAGCTAGAGGAGCCCATTCAGGCAAACAATAATAAATGGGATCCAAGATGGCGTCACTGGGATTGGGAATTGCGATTATACGGGCAGTATTTTTGGGGGTGGAAAGGGGAAGGCGGACTGTTGGCCATAACAATAATGCCCCATAATAAATTAACTGAAATTCACTTAGTTATTTATTTTTTTGCCCGACAAGATGAGAAATTAATCTGAATAAATTGAGTTGTCAAATGGGCCAAAGAGAGAAAGAGAAGCGAGAGAGAGAGAGAGAGAGAGAGGGGGATAAAAAATGATATGCCAAATAAATACCAACGGTGAGTAATCGTTTTCTTATTGTTACTGTAGTAGCCTCCTCGTCTTCATCTTTCTCTTCCTCTGCTATTTCTCTTCCCTGAAGAACACCCAAAGCACAAAAGCTTCGTCTTCTGCCTGTTTCTTCCCGCTCCTCTCCTCCTACCCTCCTCCTGCCCCACACACATTCACCACACTTAACGATGAAAATCCAATTTAAGGCTGCCTCAGTTGTTTGCGCTCTCTTTCCCCCTTGGGGCTCAGCCCGTCTCTTTTCCTCTCACTCTCTCTCGGCCCTCCTTGCCACCTAAATAAAGTGTAATAAAATAAAGTAGATAGGGATAAGAGTAGATAGGGATATTAGGAACACGAGAGCCCCTCCAACGTTTTGTTGTTCCTGCAGCTCTCCATGCCGAAAATTCAATTTCCACAATGAAAATGCGCGAGAAAATTGTCTTACATGCAGAGAAAGTTCGAAAGAGAGGGGACTAGTGGACGAGCGAGATGGGCATATGTCTCGGAATAACTGTGCTTTGGTTTGCTGGCTGCGCAGAGCATGCGCGAGCCAAAAATAACGGGAAATGGCAAAGGCGGCGCTTAGGGGCAAAAACAAATCCCACCCTCCCTCTCTCACACACATAAACTCTCTCCCTCTCTCTGTCTCACTCCTCATCCCTTTTGCTCTTGCCCACCCGCAGCCATCTTGCTGCCGACGCAGATCTAATTTGCAGCCGACAGCGCTGTCGACGTTGCGACTGCGGCAAGCACCGTTAGATCATTCGCATTCTGACGTTTCACGCGTTCGGTTCGACGCCATCTTCGCCATATAACTCGACTATATAGATCATAGTAAATCCCCCAAAAATACGTAAAACCCCACTGGATTAAACGAGACTCTGATATCTGAGGAAATAGGCTTTTCCGTCGGCAAAACGGTGCCTGTCAAGAACCCTGAAAGTAACTTTATATATCTTCCTGATCCTTCGAGTGCTAGCTGTCAAAAAGACTTCCAAGAATCTTCCAGTGCTTTAACCCCACATGTGCCAGTTCTTAACCCATTAGCAACTGCCTTTTTGCGGCCTATTACCTCTCAGATTGAGTGTGTAATCTTAAACTTTCCCCAGCATCCTTTGTGATTCCTCCGCACTTTCTCGTTAAGAACTTTTGGCCAACTTCTTGGCAAGTGTTTAGACGCTCGAGAAAACTTTCGCACCTTTGTCTTACGTGAGTTCGTGCTGTGAAAATACGAAAAAGTTAAACTCGAACAGAGCTCAGGGCTAAACAGCTAAAAAGGCTAAAAAACAAAGGCGACGAGGGATTTTCTTCTGTGACACGCTTGAAGTATTGCTGCCAAAATTTTCACGGACGGAAATAAGGTGAGTTCGGATTGGGTTTATAAGAAAAGCTCTTATTTTTAGGTATCATCTTAGAGTATTATTAAAATATATTTTCTTTTGTGGAAATCATAGGCAGTTTTCAATGTATAAGCACAAATTTGAAAATCCTTTACCGCTTTATATTTGCATTTTCCATATAACCTTAGACGAAGTTATTGGCTTGGTGTTAAAGTGGCTTGTAGAAGAAGGTAAAAAGTATATTGCTGATTTGTAAACACTTTAATTTGAAATATAGGAAAAGTTACTGAAGAAGTTACTGAAAAATTAGGTAGCTGACATATACAAAATCATAAAATTAAGAAACTTCAGTTGAATAATCATAGAGGAAAGCAAATGCCTTCACTTATTATATCCTTCGGCATCCCCAAACCTCAGATTAATATCAAAGACAATTCCATTTACGGCACAGTACTCATAACTTATTTAGAGGCTGTTAATTTGCATTAAGGAATTTCCTAATGAGTTCCAATGAGATAAAAATCAGGGCTTTCGAGTGCTCGAATCCTGGAGAGTCCTGGCTGATGTGTGCTTTCGTGTGAGTGGCAAAGTGTCTGGCAAAAGTGTTTGTGCCGATGCCTTTCCTGTGAGAAATCGCACAAAACCCGTGAACACTTGAAGCCAAAAGGGGGAAGGGGATTGGAGGCGAAAAAAGAATTAAGACCAAAATTGGTGGATGCATAAAGGATTCGGCAGCCAGGATCCGCAAGGAGGTTGCCCCCTTGGCAGAGGAGGGGGAAACTCAGTTGGAAACGCGCCTCTTAATTGAAGACAGACCAAAAGTTGATCACTCCGCAAATGCAGTTTGAATAATTGATGATAATTACGAGAGAGGAAAAAAGAAAGAGACAGCCGTGTGTGTGTGCGGAAAAGAGAGGCAACAAGGGTACAAAATCAATGGCAAATAATTCGAAAAGAGCGGACGGAAAAAAAGCGAGGGGAAAACGAAGTTTCAAATTAAATTGATCAACCGCAAATTAATTGGCAGCCATGCAAACGTTCAACGCTCCACTGGATGCCATGCCCCCACCCAAAAGGGGCAGTGGGTGGTGCAGACTGACGGGGAACTGGAGGGGGTAGAACAGAGGGGAGTCAATTGGAGTTGACGAACGATTTTTCCATTCGTCGCCAAGTTTTGTTCGATTCGTTCAACTCAATTAGGGAGGCATGGGCGATGGGGAAAGGGAGACCCAAAGGGGGATAAAAAGGGGTTGGAAATGGGGCTTAGATGGGGGGTTAGAAAGGGGCTCTGCCATAGGACCAGGACCACATACAAATAAAATACAATTTGGCATATTTAAATTAGCAAATGGAATTATCATGGAGAACGCTAGTCCGAAGGAGGTTAGTTCGGCCATGTTTATTGATTGCTTGATTGAATTGAACATCGAATTGGTAAATGGACGAAATTGATGGATAGATTGGGACTAGCATTGGGGCGTTCAATATGCATATTAGCTGTGTGGCAGGATTATGAATTCCGGGAGGATTAGTAGTGTTAATACAGAGATAGGTTTCGTTTTAATAGAACAACTAGAAAGATGATAAAGTTCTGATTCCTTCACATAAAGATCCGAAATCCAGATAGTTTTATTATATTAATTGATGAAAATAAGCATGAAATTACCACTAATTATTTAGATATTAACAGCAGATAATCAATAAAATTGTTTTTAATATCAATAAAATTTGTCAAAGTTCTCTTAGAGTTTCCCAATCCCACTGAATTTGTCCCTTATGATTCCCAATCAGTTTCTCAGAGACCCCCCGCAAAGCTCTAAATATGGGACCGACACCTCTCGTCCCCTTTCCCAGTGAAATGCACAAAACAATTTGCTTTAATTAAACAGAAAATTCAATCAAAATATTTATAAAACAACAAAAACAAAGAGGGCCCAAAAACAAAGCCAAGTCGGTAGGGGTGACCAACAGATTTTCCTCCCCATGCGGGCGCCCCGAAGATGACGACACACTGCAATATATCACATATATATATATACGATTTATACGATATGAAGGGTTAGCTTTCGGAATGGGTTCTGTGTTGCTTTCGAGTTCGGATAAATTGGCGACACTTGGTCACGAAGAGCTGGCGGGGGTGCATCATGGCTCGCTAATTTAATTTACTTTACTTTTTTCGCAGTGCAATTTCGAGGCGCTGATTTGCTGGTGGGTGGGTGGCTCTCCAGCCAAATGCACGGCAGAATTTTAGTCTGATTTGAGCCGAGGCTCTGATTCCCCGATTCTAGGCGCGAGCCAATTGACACAATCAAATTCGAACCTCGCAAATTCGCTTAATGCGCCGCGAGACAAAAACAAAACCAGCAAAAAAGAAGGAAAAGCGCTCAACCGAAACTGCAATCAAGAGGGATTCTTAGATGGGGGCATATGCAAATAGTTTGACTGGACAGTGGAAGTCAGCTATAGGGGAATGACAACTTTCTTAATCTATAACAATAAATTCTTTCATAATATGTTAAAAAAGTTGAAGAGGAATGCTTAAAAAATGAATTTTCATTGTCATAAATTTAGTTTGGAAAATCCTTTCTGCCTCGAGAGGCTTCACTGTTCATAGCAAAGCCCACTCCAAGTTGGATCATCAGTGGCAGACTGCGCCAGTTTAGTTTGATTATGGCGGACGGACAAACGGACAGTTTTAAAAACGGATGCACTTTACTTCGGTGGCAAAAGTGATAACCTCATCGCTGGCCGGCCAACCCCCTCCTGGCCCGCCCCCCGTTTCCACATATCATCTCACCTCAGTGGGAAATTATCGCACTTTTGGTTTGGGGCAAACAAAAAACTAGGAAAACTAGAGCTAAACGAGCGAGTGTGGGTGGGCGGTAGGCAATTTCGCAAATGCGTTTAAGTGGCTCTAATGCCAGCGGGACGGGGTTTTGGAGCAGGGATGCGCACGTGGATATGCCCATGGATATGACTGCGATACCCGGCTGCAAATGTGAGGCAGCCAGGGCAGTCTGGCAGCGAATTATGCCACTTTCCAGTTCGCACTGCACTCTCTGCGAATCTGCAGCTCTGCTTCTCGTTTAGTGGCGATTTGGCGAGCCGAGATTCGAGCGGCCGATATGTCCATTAGTCCAGCTGCCCCTGAACGAAAGGAGGTCGTCGGTGGTCAGTTGCTCGTCTGACCTTCAAGGAAACGCTTGAAAACTGAAACAGATAGTTCGGAAATCTGTCTCTCTGCCACCTCTTTTAGGAAATATCACTTGCCTTCCCTAAAAATCTTGATCTTTATGAGCTGATTTAAGAGGCAGAATACGATCCAAATCCAGAAAATGCCGCACTCCCTTGCTTCTGGGTGTTGCACTCGCTGATTGACTTGTGTTTCCATTTTTAATTTGGTTAATTCAAATTAATCAAGCGACAGTTGTTAATTCCTCCTCGTTTTTTGCTCTCCCAGCGAAATGCATTTGTTGCATGGAAAGTGCATTGGCATTGGCGTCCAGACTCATCCATATTCATGTGGATCCAATGTTGTTGGCTTTTCCGTTGTCCAGACGCATTGCATTTCCCACTTTGTTGTTTGCTCAATTAATGCAATTGCTCGTTTTGTCTCTTCGCTGCTATTGTTGTTGTTGTTGTTGTTGTCATTCGTGACATTATTAATTTATATTTATATTACTTTTTATAGCTGCAGCTGTTGCATAATGCCCTCAGCAGTCGTCGCTTCTGCCGCTGCACCAAATTGTATTATGTTCTGATGCGTTTTAATTAATTTTGAGTTAATTTCGTATTTTATTTTGTCAACTTGTTTCAGGCACTCAGCAGGGGCAGTTAAAGAGATTGGGAAGAGCCTTCTGAAAGATTTCTGAATGATTTTCAATATAAATATTTTGATTACTATCAAGCTAATGCCATAACAGAAAAGTTTCCGATTGAAAAAACAGTTTAATTGCCATTAAATTGAGTGTTTCAACCGCCGCTTTCCCTACAATTTTCAACCCATCAAGCTGACTTCTTCAACATCGCTCCGCCACCTAATGCAATTTTGCGAACACTGCATCCACATCCGCATCCGCTGCTGTACTCCCCCCTTCTGCTGTTCCCCTGCAAATCGTAATCCTCCCGCTCTGATTGAATTTCCCCGTTTTTGGCGACGGCTCGTGGCAGAAACTAGCGCAAGCTTCCATTGCTAAACCCCATGTCCGAGGACCGACTGGACAACAAAGGCTTACCACACAGATTTCCACCAATCTACCGACCCCTTCACTACCCACTCATCTCTCCCTTTGGCACTTTCCATCCGTTTTCCCAGCACTGAGAAAAATATATCACGTCATCAATATGGGTTTTTAATTTTACTGATAATGGAAATCATATAAATATTTAGCTCAAAGGGTCATTGTGGTCTTCATAAGTTATTACTGCAAGATCAGTTTTCAATTTCAAAATATTATTTCAAGAGTTATGTTTACAATTTTTCTCAGTGTTTTGGGTTTTCCCTGCGATTTCGCCTGGCGTTTCGGGAAGTGCAGTCAAATCGAAATCGTTGCGCTGTTTAGTGCGCACTTAATTGAATTTCGCGTGTGCTGCTCCACCATCCACACACAGATGCCCACGCACACACTCGCACACCCTCACACAGATACACACTCGCACACATCGGGCTGTGTTGCATTGTCTAGGCCACAAACATTGCCAAGTGCATTTCGTGCAATTGGATAATTGCATTTGGCTTGGCGTCGCCAGTTGCCGGTTGCCAGCGACAGTTGCAACACCAATTGCAATTGCAGCAGCAGCAGCAGCAACAACAACAACAACTCCACTGCAGGTGGCGAAATTCGCAGGTGATGGCAATTAGCAGGGCCAGCCTAAAAGTAGGCAATTTAAGTGGAGTGGGAAGGCAAGGTTCTTTAGTTAAGCAGCATTTTTCCTGACTTAAAGACAAAGATACTTAAATTAGATATTTGCAAAAACTATTGCATAACCCTTCATCAGATATGCAACCCATAAAATGCATTTATTTATCAATTAGTTCAGAAAATTTAAATTTGGAGGTACCACTCGCGCAAACATTTTGCGAGCCTCCTCGATAGCTCTTTCGGCGAAGTAGCTGAAAGGGTTATTTCTTAAAGTGACCTCTGGCTTGCACTTGGACTCGCAGTCACTCCGTTTGGGGAAGAAGTTTCCCCTGACCTGGCATGCATAGAATTCGGTGTTTAGGCAGCGGTTTCGAATTCCCGAATAGGAAAACCCTATCCTTCGGGTATTACACTGTCCCACAGGCAAGGGTTCCAAGGTGCAGATGACTAAATAATGAAGTGTTATGTGAAATAATAACTATTAAAATTACATATTAATACTCACCATCTGACTGCCCTGCAGTCAGTCCTGCTAGGATGAAGATCAGGGATAAGGTGGCCAGGAACTGCATTTTAAGCTGAGATGTTGGCTTCTTTCTTGAGATGATTCGAAAGTCGAACTGACAGACTAACTGTGTGGGATAGCGCTTAGTCTTCTGTACTTATTGCCGGAAATTTACATACGTTCAGTTCAACTCTATTTGAGGTTCCTCATAAAAAACTTCATTTGCACATTAATTGGTTCTCATAAATCTGGCAAAGGACAGACTAGTCATAAAACTAGATCTTTGAACTTGAAGCTATATTAAGAATAATATTAAATTTATCGCATCTTAGTATCGAGAGGGGTTAATCACAATGCTTAGTTAGTCTGAGTCTGACTTTGAGGGTGTAGGATCGTTCAGGCGATGGGGGATCTAAGATTAATTCTCTTTTGCTAGTTTTGGGCAAAGTAAGCTTTGGAAATCTTAAATTTCTTAAATTAAGCTGGATTTTCAGGGAATTTTTTAGACCCGTTTCAATTTCATTTTCCTGTTCCCAATGCATTGAATATCCTTTACAAATTCTGTACTCTTTATTTGCCAAAAATAGGGCCAACCAATATAGTTTTAATAGGGAAATAAACATATGAATTTATTCTGAACCGGGCCAGAATCTAAAAAGTCCAGTAAAGAAGTCCTGAATCTGGGACATGATTCTGTTGGCTTGCTGCGTCCAATTGGTCCAGGGGTCATCCAGGCATTTGTCCTGGCATTCCACGCGTGTCTTAAAGAAGTTTCCAGTGACACTACAGCCATGCAGAACTTGACGGGTGCATGCCCCTTTTTGCGGTGTATACTTGAAACCCCTTACCAGCCTCTCACAGTTGCCTTCGACTATAGGGATTTCATTGCATATGGCTAAGTTTAAGATATTTATCGCTGATTAGTGACAGAATTACTATACTGTTTAAGTACTTACGATCCCTTTCGCAGTGCACAAGGCTAATTAGGAAAAGTGCGATGGAAAGCTTCAACAGAAATTTCATTTTCCTTTTGATGTGTGATAAGAACTGCCTAGCTCAAAAGTCTCCAAGCGACTGAAAGTTAGTTTTCCAAGCTAAGAAATTATTAAGACTTCGATTTATGGCTGTAACTTAAAACTTGCAAGGTTTTAAGTTAATATTTGCATATTGAATACATTATACTTAACCACAGCTTGGTGTAAGAAAGTATAATGAAGTTTTTGAGGAAATTACAAGCGGCGAGCTATGAAAATCAAAATCTACTAAGAGCCTTGATTTCCCTCAAATATAATTCCTTGGTTACATCACTGGCCTAGTATCCCTTCACAGGCTATTCAAACTATTTAGATTCAAACTCATTGCCAAAGTAAAAGCCCTGTCCAATTTATGTCTCTTAGTTCGGGCCAACTAATTTGGACCATATGACCATTCCATTACAGTGGGATTCCATAATCTCCGCTGCTCCATGTCCGGGACATTAAAATTTCAAAAATCAATTTCAGAAATAGCATTTTGATTTGATTTAAATGTAACGCCCCAAGGTCCAGCCCAAGTGAGAGCTTTCGCCTCTGGAACGCACATGGGAGTATTATCCGGGTCTCTACTCTACTCTACTACTACCTCCGTCCCCCTAGTGCACCGCAAAAGCCCCTCTGCTGTGCCTATTTAATACGTCCAAAATAATTCAGCATAAATTATTCACTGGAAATTAATTCACTAACAACACCAGCAACGGCCTGCCTGCCCCAAAGCCCCACCCCTTGGAAATCCCTCTGATGGCGATGGCGATGGCGATGGCACTAAAACCTTAGAGCCCGGTCCTGTGGACCAGGGCCAAAACATCCAGCATCCAGCAGCCAACAACCAACAACCAGCAGGCCGCATGTGCAACATTAGACACGAAATGGCAATTTTCCATTTGGCAAATGAGTTTTGCGGCCGACGGACTCCAAATATAACAATTATGCAAAATTACAAATTCTCACAATTCTAATGGAATGCCGGGCCCCGGAGGGAGGGGCGTGGCCGAAAGGGGGGTAGGGGGCAGGTGAGGGCGTGCCCATCTCGTTCCCGGGCACTAAATGGAAATTTATTGGCGCCACTTGTCGGGGCTTGACTTTTGGGAACGCGGCCACATCTGCGACCAGCGAACAGAAGGACACTTCACCAGGACACTTGAAAAAAATGTTGTGGAAAATGTTAACAAGAAAGGGTAATGATAAGGGAAAGTAGCTTAGGAAAACTGTATTCTAGCTAAGTAGAAACACTTCATTAACATAAAGTTGTAAGATATTTTAAAGTAGTTCCCTTATTTCTCTCAGTGCATTCAGGACACGAGCGTAGGCAGGACACACGCTGCCGCCGAGCACGTTAAATTATTTTGCGTGTGTAAATTTGGCGGAAATAGTCTGTAACATGATATGCTAACACTTGTGGTGCGCTGGGCGGTGGGTGGGTGGTGCTCGTTGGGTGGTGCTGTATGTGGGCAGCCACCCACCCAACTGCCAGCAGTCATGTGCCGAGCCCCATAAATAAAATTCAGACAATTTTTTTAACAAATTTACTCAAATAAATTAAAATGTCGGTGCAGAGGAAGGCGCCGGACGCACCTGCATTCCCGATGGTCTGATGGGCTGAGTGAGAGCTTTATGTGCTGTCATATGAAAGTTACAATTAATTTTAATTGCAATTGAAATGTAACGGGAAATGTGATAGCCTTAAAACAAGCAATGATAGTTGCAGCATCACAGGAAGTTTGGAATGTTAATCTATGAATAGGGAAGTACTGGATGGAGTGGAATGGAAATAGGTTTCCAGCCTGTAACTTATTGATAGAGGAATGCATTCCTCTTGAATTTTGATTTATTTAAACTCATCACTTCTCTAAGAAGATTCCCAACTCTTCAAAGATGAACCATTTTTCCCACCCATATCAGTTTCAAGTCGCCGAATGGAGAGTCTACTTTCTCAGCGTCTTTCACTGATCTTGGCTATCTAGCGATCTTTAGTTTGACACTGTGACTCCTTTCCCTACCCTATTTGTATTTGATAGATACAGAATCTCTCCCTCCCCTTGGTTATGCATGAAAGGAGAAATTCCTCGACTAATTAAGCCGCAAACTGCATTGGGAAAGGCGCCAGCGAAACGCAAAACATCGGCTCATAACTGAAGCGAGTTCATCAAGAGCAGTTACAGTGGCGGCCATAGCCGTATGCCGACTCTTTTGCGGCAAATGCAATTAATTTAAATCAATTGATTCGTTTGAGGACAATTTAATTGTATGCAGACGACTAGCAGTGCAGCCACAAACTGGGAAACTGAGCATCTCAAAGACTCAAAGATGCAAAAGCAGATGAAATCGATTGAGGATGATTTGTCAGAAGTCTGTAATTGCCTTTAATTGAATCGAATTGAGTTTGAGGTGCATATGACAACATTAAAGGCGACGCAGAGTCGCCCCACAAATACCAATACATGAGTACTGAATGCTCGATGCCCGCATGTCTCCAATTCAATTGTGCACTTAAATTACAAGTTTCTCGTTCATCATCATCATCATTATCATCATCGTCGTCATCGTCATCTTCATCATCAGTTGGCGTGATTGGCAAGTGAATTTATCAAAATTACATGCAATTTAAAGATTCTTTTTCTCAATTTCGATTGATGAGTAACCTCTTTCTGATTCTGATCTCGATACTGATTCCATGTTTCTATTCTTGTTCCGATTTCGATTTCAGCTCGGTCCTGCAGCCGCGGGCAGAGGAATGTTTTGCTACCAGTGCCCGCCCGCCCTGCATCCTTGCGGCCCCCATCCTCCGCGCCTGCCCACCCTGGACTACCCCTTCGCCGCCACCCATCCATGTGAGTATATCTATCTAGTATGTATGCTTAACTTGCTGATAAACTGAGTCATAGATGTTTTGAGTTCTCCCTAGTTAACAGCTTCTCTTTTGCTAAGTAAAAGTTTACTTTTAATTTGAATAATTTCTGCACTTCATAACCCCTGCTAATTGCATTAGGTAATTCAAGAAGCGAACGATCATCTGGCGGAACAAATGGATTTCCGACTGTCAAAAGTGCAATTTGCTCGTTGAATCAAATTTAGATAAAAAGCCAATGATAATCGCCGCTGCTTCTGTTGCCACTTTGACTGCCCTGAATGGATTATTGTCTATCGGCGTATCTCTGAATCTCTTAGTTACATTAACGAATTATTCTATTAGCATCACGTTGCAGGCATCAAGGCAGGGTTGTACTCTCTCCTCCCCCTATGTGGCATATCAGATTTCATGGTCGCACATGTCGAGAGTTTGCTGTTTGCCTCGAAAAGTTTGCCACTCGGTCAGAGGATAAGTGCTAGGCGAAGTTGGAGTGAGAAGAGAGTGAGTGCTTCTTTCTGAGAGATAGAATTCCCGATTATGAGGAAGTTGAAAGAATGATGAGTGATAATGGCTTAAACTCTTCCCATTCTGCTGTGCAACAAGTTCTGCTTATACAGAGATAAGCCTTGTCTACAAATTAAAGTTCCACTTTAAGTTTTATAAAGCTTAGTGGAGTTACTGAAAAATCCCCTTAAGCGTCATTTCGATGAATTGGGTGTAAAGAAAAGCCACAGCGGGGCAATTTGATTTCCCGTTGGCCACCACTCGACGCCCAGAACCACTCCATGTTCGCAGTCCCAATCCCAGTTCCTCTTTCAGTCTCATTCCCCGACCAATCCGGACCAAATAAACTTTGCCTGGCACTCCAGAGTCGAGAATCCAGAGTCGGAGTACCAGGGGCAGGGGCAGGGACAGAGGCACCCGTTGCCATATAACTATAATTGAATAAAAAAAAAGCAGTAGAGGAGAGGTGGGTTGAGGAGGAGAGGGGGCAGGGGCAACTCAATCGATATTCGCATGCGGAAGGGGATTTTCGGAGCAAAGGAGTGGCCAAAGGCAAAGTCAAGCAAACGTGAACGTGTCGAAAAGTGAAGCGATCCATTCGAATTGGGCTGGGGACTGGGCGAGGGACTGGGGGAGGGCACTGAAAAAGGGCGAGGGAGTGGGGAATTTTGGATTTCAGATTTCAGATTTCAGATTTCATTTCTGGCAATTATCGAATGGCAAAGCGTTAATGCTTTGGCATGCAAATTTTCCTTCGGCACTCGGAATGCGGCGACAGATTTCGACAGATTGAGGCTGAGTGCTGAGGCATTTATCGAAAATCATAAATCAAAGCGCCATCCGCCGACGGAATAGTTTATTGATTTTTTCCCACCCACTAACCATAAAAGGCACCGGCGCGGCATCTAACAACCAAAACATATATAAAAGTGGTATCCCCCCTGCAAAAATTGGAGCTTAGCTTGCCACAAATTGCAGCGCATTCGGTGGGCAGGTTTCGGGGCTCTTCATCTCCCAGGGAATGTGCGCCATCTAATGGGATTAGGTGGAGACTTACGAACGCATTACGTAACATCTTGGCACGTTCGCCTGCTGCGTAATCCTAATCAGGTGCAAATTCTATTTACTGCTGACTGATTCAATATGACAGACGACGGACGGACGGGGCGATAACTTATGTTCCCGTTAGGGTCCTAGAAGGGTCGAGGGGTCGAAGGTCCTCGAAGGGACTGTCGCTTTTGATTTGCGAAGGCTTATATGAGAGGCAAGTGCCCCTAATGCAATTTGCCGAGTGATAATTTGAGTCTTGGTTTCGATTCCACTTGGTTCGGACTTTATATAATCCAAACTAAACTATGGATAAGAAATCTTTCTTGATATAGAAGAACTCAAGTTAAGTTTTCAGATATTTTTATAGCTTATTTTCAACATTTCCTAACAAAATTCAATGAAAAACACATAATGCAGCGAAAATTCCCATAACGAATCCACTTAGGGCGTACTGGCACTCCCCTCCCTTATGACATAACCAATAAATATGGCTCACGAATCAAAATAAAAAGTTCCCCAGAACATTTGCATAGCTAATTTAATTTGCTGGCTGTTTTTTTGAGATTCCGATTCGTGATTCCTTGACGTGACACTCCCTCCCCCTGCCTCCGGTAAGAGCTGACACCGAGAATGCTTCTCAATTGCTAAACTAATTTAAAATTTTGCCAACGCGTGCCCGGACTTTCGAGCACTGAAACTGAGACGGTGACACTTTCCGAGGGAATTCGACCTTATGCCGGGGGAATCCTTGAGCTGTGGCCCAAGGAAACTAGGCCAGCCGAGGAAGAACTATAATGAATGCTAATTCCTGGCTCTCAGATTAAGTAAGCGAAACTGAAATCGAATGAGAATTGATTTTGGACTCGTGTAGAGACATCGCAGAGAACCGTCAGACAAAGTTGCAGACATGTATCTTACGGATACGGATACGGATGCTCGGATGCCCGAGTGGGCGGAGCTCAAGGCTGCTAGTTCTGGATGGGCGGGGCCGAGCTGATTGCCAGGACTCTTGACTTGACTGCTCCCAGACCGAAAATCCCTTAATGATGGTTTCGCTTGTTATGCCAAATGTTTAAAAATTGAATTATCTCCCATTACCGGCGCAGCTAACGAGCAGACGCAGAGCAGCTTCAGTGAACTAAGAAAAATGTTGGGGAGAAAAACATGCAAATAATATGAATAAGAAGATTAATTTTATATACTTTTACTATGAAGTTATTGCTAAAGATGTTTTCGATATAGAATAGATGTTTAGATAGCCATGGAAGAGATACATTCACGACTTAAATCAGCTAAAAGTTCGATATTTCTTCTCAGTGTACAGCGAGACGGATTGCTTGGGTGGCAGGGAGGTTTATATAGAGATATAGATGGCTGGCTGGCCGACTGGTGGCTTGTCTGCGCCCCTTTGCGTACTTTTTGAATCAATTTGGCAACAAGGATTTGTTAATCCTGTCTTCCTGACAAGTGCGGTTAGTTGACTTGTTGTTGCTGCCGGGGCTGCTGCATGACGTTTGATGTTCGAGCCGGGAAATGGGATATGGGAAATGGGAAATGTTGGATGGTGGGGTGGTAGAATCCTCCATTGGCTTGAACTGACTGACTGTGTGTGGCCAAAGCTTTCAGCATGAAATTCTTATTGCCCGGTTTTCGGGCAGCTTTGGCTCTGCGCTCTGGGATTTGCACTCGAAACCTAATTGTGCTAATTGCCAGCCGCTTGAACGTCAGTGGCACAGGCTCTGGTCTTCTTTTTCGGCCCGAAGCATTTTCCGTCCAGCCTGGGGCATTTTCCATTTGCATTTTAGGCAATTATTGGCTGCAAAGAATTTGATTAGCAAGAAAATTGCACTGCAGCAGGATGAACTGGTGATGAGCAGATGGGAAAGGTCGTGATCGTGATTATCTGGGAAATGTTTGGGAATGAAGAGAAAATACAGGAGCATTAGGAGTTGCAACTCTCAGAATCCTCTCATTTAACAATTTTTGCTTAGTAATATCCCAGCTATGATATGTTAATCATTAAGCTCAAGTTCCGATTTCACCACCTTTCCTGGGAACCTATTCCTCCCCAGCCTCCCCACAAACTCACTCTGAGTGCCCTGAGCTGAACTCATTGACTATTCGATTAGATAACATAGCTCTTCATGGCCTTTGCCTACCTCTTTGATTGCTTGATTTAGGCCCGAAATGCGGGCTTCATTAGCAGGGTAGAGAGAACATCCTTGGGCTTACCTGAGATGGCCTGATGTCGAAAGACGCCGAAAACATTTTGTAATTATTTTCATAATTAAATATTAATCGATGCCAGGCATAGCGACACTTGCTCTCGCATAGAGATAGAGACAGTGGAAACATGGCAAACAACATTAGTGCGCATTACGGAGTCTCCAGGGAATCGAGAGAAAGGGGGTGGCACTGGGTCGACTGGCGAAAATGAATGCCAAAGTAACAACATTTCAGCTAATCGGATTAGAGCCCCCAAAAAAGTTAACACACACTCAGAGAGAGAGAGAGAGAGAGAGAGGCAGAGGCCTGAGCGAAAGAGACGACAGCTTTGCTCGGCTTTGGCAAGAAGAAAATTAAAATTAAATTTTGCAATTTGCCAGCTAATTATTTATTTAAAATCAAATTGAAAATTAATTTTACAACACGAACGAACCGAGAGTCCGTAGCAAAAAAGGTCCGACAAAGTTTCCGCCTTTCGACTTTCGACTTTGGTTTTCCATTTTCCGGGGGCTGGCAGAGCGGGCATTTGGGGCCGGAGGTCAAGTGGGGCTGTCAACGCCTCTCCTTTTCCTCGGTGTCTCTCTTTCTGGCTCAAAAGGCAGTTATAAAATATTTCGTAGCATACAAAATGGCGCTGCTGCTAGAAAATTCAATTAGCCTGCAATTTTTGGCAACAGCTGGCTTTCAGCAAAAGCCAAGTGGACAAGGAAAGCCCAGGAGGGAGGTGGCCTCACCAGGAAGGGCACAGAAGCGGGGAAAACTTTTGGCTTGAATGAATTCCAAGGCAGTTATACATAGTTGGGTCATTTAAAATTTAGAGAAAACTTCGGCCTGGCTGGAGATATTGAAAAAAGTAATGGAATTCTATCTAATGCCTGTAAATAAGTTAAGGGTTGAGGAACTTCAAAGAAATATGCTTCACAAAAAGGAAAGTTATTACATTTTACAATCTGTAAATAATATATTTGCCAATTTGAATTTTGAGAGTAGGACTAGCAGAGAATCGACTTAAATGTTATTTCTCCAAGGCCTAAGTAGATGCCAGTTTCATATTCCCTACTTTATATTCTATATATCTCTTCATGGCATCTACCTATGCTCTACCCTTGAATCAAATCCCGAAAAATCCCTCTTAAACTATTTAATTCATGGCCAAGTCGAAGAAGACACAGTCCAGCTTAGTGGCACCACGCCTTAGTGCAACTAGTCGAGTTAAGAGGGCTAATGCAACACCTAACGTGGCTAATACCCCTCTTCCCTCCTGTCTTCTATTCCACAGATACCAGCTATTCGTATCATCCTGCCATACACGATGAGACTTTTGTCCGGCGGAAGCAGCGGCGGAATCGCACCACTTTCACACTGCAACAGGTAAGTCAAGGCGGGGCAAGGTGGAAGGAAAGCGTTTTTAATTCTTAATTCGGACAGCTGGAGGAGCTAGAGACGGCCTTTGCCCAGACCCACTATCCGGATGTGTTTACTCGCGAGGATCTGGCCATGAAAATCAACCTGACCGAGGCACGGGTTCAGGTAAGGACGAAATCTCCTCTTTTCCACTGATTTCCTTAGTTCCCATTTGAGAAAATTATGCAAAATAAGAAGAGTTGAGGAATATTAAATTCAGAACTCAAGAACTTGGCGAAATCGTATCAAATTTCATAAGTATAAAAGCGAAGGACAACCCTAGAACGGTCACGCCGCCTGATCAAAGCCCTCGCTTTTTCTATATCTCTCTCCATCTGGAACTTCCCGCTCCCCGGACTCGATTAATAATGCATATGCATGCTGAACAGGCCCAAGGATTCGGGGATTACCAACGGGTTCGGGTCGACTCCGGGCTCGGGGGGTGGCAAACGCTCCTGTAACCAACCTAATGCAATAACTGCCTTAAAAATATTTTCTATATACTCGCACAGAAAGCCAGAAACAGGCCGAGCAGCAAAATATGCAAAGTTCTTAAGCGTTAACAGGGAAAATATAAAAAATGAAAAACGAAAAACGAAAAGCAAGTAATGGAAAGTGGAAAGCAAATTGCTCTCCTCTGCTGTTTGCAAAGCCCCCATTTTCCGACCTCCCCCGCAAAATCAAATTTATTTTCAATATAAGAGTTTGAGGAGTCCTTCGTTTGGCTGGGAGCACAAAGCCTCAAAATTGCAATGGAAATTTGTGCCAGTTAGGCAGTCAAAGGAAACACTTTTCTCTGTAAAATAGCTTTATTAACTATATTGTTTATTAATCCATCATAATTTCCTGGAAAATCTTACAAATCACACAAGTTTTTAGAGTGAAACGTCAATCTTAACCTTTCTTTGCCCCTTGAAGTGTGTCTTTGTAACCTTTTTCCATTATTCATGATTAATTTCTGGTACTTGTAGCCAAAATTAGAATCATTTTCCGTCACTCAGATGTAGGCACTGAGAAGTATAGCAGATCCGAATGTAAATTAAGTCAGGAAAAGATTGCTTACAGAAAGAGGTAAGTGCGAGGGCAATTTGCATGGAATTGTGAGCTGCATTTGTCAGATTAAAATGACAATTAGCGGATCTGCTTTGGGGGAAATGGCATGGAAATGCAAGATCTTAGGTGGGCGGAAAGGCGAATCTGCGGCCACTCGAGCACGTCGTTCCTGAGGTTGAAAGCAAATTATGCACATGGAAACGGAGGCAGAAACTTAATGAGGATGCCACACTAACTAGACACGTTTGTCGCGAAACCCACGCACACTTTGGTGGCTATTAAAACACTTTGGTGGCGTTACGGCATCCTCTCCATTTTTCTATTTCCGGCACAATTAGCCCCGGCGCCTTCGAGTGAGCTTTTTCCCAGGCGTAACCAGATACTCTCAATTCAATTTGCCACATAAAAAACTTTGGCAACTTGATATTTACAAATTCTCGAGCCCTATGACAATGGGACACTTGTCGCAAACACGTGTACTTGTCAGCCTAACAAAATTACAAGTTAATAACGAGGAGATCCCACCCTCCTTCAGCCTGTCAGGTGTCCCAACCAACTTTCGTGGTCCGAGTTTTCACTGTCCGAAGTTCTTTAACGAAATTGCGGCAAAAAATGTGGAAAAAAGCAACGAAACCGAAGACCATTTCGACTGGACAGCTTAGTCTGGGATTTCGATAATGGAATGAATGCCAAATATTTTGATGAGGGTGAGTCCGGCATTTTCCAACCGCATTTTGACACATTTTTTGTGTTGTTTTTTCCCGTTTCTCTGTTGGCCCGGCCAACGGCGTAGCGGAAATAAATTTTATAATAAAATTTATTATGTGTACTTCGGTTGATTCCCCAGCATCCCTGACTCCGGTTTAGCCGCTCACTTGCCTGTAACCTGATACGTTTTCCACGCGATTTTTTGTCTGTCAATTTTTGATGCCCGGGATAAAGTCAGCCGTCTGCGTTGTTTTCCCTCCTGTCGAAACGCATTTGAGTTCAGTGCAAAAATCATTTACTTAATGTACATCCCAGCGAGCTTATGGCTAAGGCCCCATCTGGATCAGGGACATATCGTGCTCGGGAGCTGGGATTGGAAGGAGGAGTAACAGGCCCACCTGACAAGGACGAAGCACTTTGAAGTCGAGCTAATACAGTAGAGCCTTCTAATAACTGATATTGATTGATAAATGAGTGGGAAATTTGATTTTTGAACGGGATGATAGAGGGTACGAAGGGCTGTCTGGGGTGGAAAGGAACTTACCCATAGGAAAATGTTGTTAGAAGAGATTTGCATGCCATTAAACGATAAGTTCTAAGTTGCTTACTTTTTGACAAAGGATATTTTATTAACAAATAGCAGAGAGAGAGACTCAATATACTTTAGTTTTTGATTAGTTTCTGAAGTCCCTATTGGCCAGCTATTTAACTAGGAGATTTACAATCAAATTCCCTTGGTCTCCTCAGCTATACATTAATAATAATATCGCCCAGTAAGCCCTCTCTCAGGCAGCCCAATAATAGTTATCAATATCCCAGTCTAAGGCGATAAATAATGAAGTCGTTAACCCACTGCGATTACCGGTTCTCACTTCGGCGACTACGCACCTCATACATATCTAATTCGATTAGAATTAATGTGCTGTGCAGCATGACAATGCGAAAGGGCTACACCCACTGGAAAGCCGCCCAATCGGAAATGTGGCACCACCCACTCGAACCACCGCAAAAGGCTTGCCACCGCATATAATGCCAATAATTGATAATTTATTATAATCACGGAGGTCCCAGGAGGCGAGTGAGAAACTGCTCAAGAGAAAAAAGCCGCAGAAGATGATGAGGAATGGATGGAAGAGCTGAAGGGGGTGAGGAAAATGCACTGGGAAAATGTCTTTGAGGTTGCCGAATTACTAGTCATTATCATCTAGGCAGATAATCTCTTGTACTTACGATAATTATACAGCATTACCTTTCCTATAGCCTATCTATCTGAAGAAAATATCTTTAGATATGTCTCCCAAGAAGCCCAACTTATTTCTCCCAGTGCAGTGGGGTGGCTGGCTGACCGGAATGCCTGTCAAATAATTGCATTTGCTCGAGTAATCCTTTAATGCTGATCCAAGTTGATGGCCGTCGAATCGAATCGTGTCTGCCTTATGTTGGCCTCAGGATATGGGCGGTTTCAGGGGGAAGGACTCTGGTTTTGCTGGGAAGGGCCCAGGGCAGGGGCAAGGGAAAGGGATGGTGTCGGCTGCTGCGGTAGCCCAATTATTGTTGCAAAGGGTTCAGCTTAGCCCAGGGCAAAATGCGTTTGATATTAACACATCTGTTCATTCATTCCACTTGAGCTGCCTCACCGAGGTCCTTGGCTCTCGATCCTTGGTCCTTGGTCTTTGGGTGTTGTTTGCATTGAGTGTTCCGGGATCGGGACAAACTGTTTGCGGAAGCTAATGGTGCGCACTTGTCCGTAATTACCCATAGACGACCTCCTGCCCTGCGCCTGCTTCCCCTTTTCCCTGGCTTTTGGGTGGTGTTTCCATTGTTTCCATTTGTTGTATGTTTGTTGTTTTTATGGTTTTTCCTTTGTAATTCACTGCTTTACAACTTTGTATTGTTTACGCTACCCGCTTGTTTGCTTGTTTGTTTTCGTTTTCATGGCAAATCGGTTTTCGTAACTTGTAACCGCAAAAATTGTGTTTGCCAAGTATATGAATAATTGCTTTGTTCATTGTTCTTAGGAAATTATGTGAAATTTTTGTCGCTTCTGGCGTTTGCCTGGGTAAACAAAATTACTTGAAGTGGGTCGAAGTGGGTCCTCGAAAGGATCCTTTCTGATGTGTTGATAAAAAAAGACGTGTGCAGTGGGCTGTTAGGGTAAATAGTAATTTAGTTAATGATTTGTATCAATCCAAATTTGATGAATGCATTGTTAAGCTAATGAAATATTATATGTTTCAATATCCCTGAAATTACTTCAAATTTACATGGTCGGGATTTTGGTGCCCCCTAAAAGTATGCTCCGAATTTACACAGCCTAGAACCTTATACCAGCAATTTGGTTTGCCTGTCTGCGCTTTCTTTTCAAATGGCAAAAGAAGAACTTTCCTAACTTGCAATTCAAACCTGAAATTCCAAAAATATAGCTCAGACAATACCCTGATATATTTGAAAAGGTCCAAGGCCCCATCCCCTTCGGAAAAGTAATTCCAAGCAGGCAATCAAGGAACTAAACCAAGCGAATTGAATAAATAAGAAACACGTTTAATTTTGTGTGTAATAAAACAAAGCAAAATTGTGCATGAAATTATGACAGGGAGGCAGAGTGAGAGAGAAAGAGAGCAAGGGCCGGAGGGAGAGAGACAGACGCACACAATTGTTTTTCATTATTAAATTTTTGTCGTAATAACAGGAGCAGTCAGAAGGAGAAGCTGTTTTTATCGTTAGCTTTCCTCTCTGTTCCTCTTTATAAATGTCTTTCTCTTTCTCTCTTTCTACCCCCGGGGCACACACACAGAGAGAGAAAAAAAGTTTACCCAGCCATATTTTATTGGTAATGTGCTTATGGCATAAATATTGTATTAAGTAACTGGTGGGCGTCACCACCAAAAAACGAGGAAAACTGGAAAAGTTCAGACCTCGCACTGGGTGGCTGTTTTTTTTTGGGGGGGGGTGCTGAAGGGAGCTTCCTTTTTGGGGGTTGGATTGTGCGCAATTTATTGTTTGCCCAGGCAAAAGGGCGGAAGATACAGGAGCAGAAGCCGTACACAGGCTGGGGCAACATGGCCGCCAGAAGAGAGAGCGATGGCCCAGTGGGTGGGTGGGGGCTTGCCTGGAGGCCAAAGTATGCTGAAATTGTTTTACGCTGCGTTATGATTACAACAATGGAGCCAAAATGCCAACTTTTGCACAATGTCTAATTTGAATTTTGATTAGGAAACTTACTTACACACACACACACACAAAGACACATCCATATAGAGAGTGATTTTCATTCAAGATGGCGACCGAGCAGGGAAATCCCATTAGAGGGCGCTCTAAGCTGGGGAATCAACGCAAACCGGAACTAAAAGCAAACGAAACGAACGGGAAGTACGGAAAATTGGCGGGCAAGCGGGGGAAATTGGGGAAAATGGGGGTAAGAAAAGGAAACACGCGCGCATAAGCAAGCAATCCAAAGGATGTGTCTAAGGATGCCAGGGCATTGTCTTGATTGAGCCTCATTAGATCCAGTCAGGCCATGTGTGTGTGAGGATAACGCCTCCCTCCACCCCAATTTAGGCGCTGATTACAAGCCAAATTTGTTTTGTCTTCCTTAGGAAAATTGAAAATCAGATTTTGTTTGTTTATGCCTTAGATTGGCTGGAAAGACAAAGGGAAACCCACACATTTTTTGGGGTGGCACAACGCAAATTGTTAAAGTTTCTGAGGTGGAAAATTTCGTTTGTGTGTGGGGAAAGTTTTTCAATTTTCCATTGGCTGGCAGCGGGAGTCAACGAGGCAGCTTGCCCGTGGCATAAATAATAATAGACATGTGGCCATATCATGGCAATTTGCCCCAAACTTTCTCAATTTCATTCGAGTTTCCCATTTTCCAACCCCGTAGGTCTGGTTCCAGAACCGCAGGGCCAAGTGGCGCAAGGCGGAGCGACTCAAGGATGAGCAGCGGAAGCGGGAAAATGGCGAGAGCAGCAGCTCTCTAGACAAGGTAAGTAAATTTGAATTTTTATTTTTCTTAGCATTAGAATTAGTGTTAGTATTACATAAACTAATGAGTATCTAAAGTGGAGACTAACTAAGGAATACAAAAACGTTATTCTCTTCCATTTCCACAGCTCCACGACTCTCGCGAATCTTCGCCAGACATCACGGGTGAAATAGACGACGACATGGATGAGATGCCGCCTCGTCAGCGGTCGCACAGCCCTCTGGCTAACGGGCAAATGGAGCAGCAGCACTCCCACTCGCATTCGCACTCCCATTCCCGCAGTCCCGGCGGCGGGATGCACTTGGATTCCAGTGACAATGAGCGGCCATTGTCCTCCAATCAGCTGACTGCCACCCCGCACTCCGCTTCCCAGTCGTTGGGCTCTATTAGTGCCGGCTCACCATCCCCCTCTGGAATGCACAGGGATCAGGAGCATACGTCCCTAACCGGAGGTGGGGGTCAGGGGCCGAGCAGCCCCTCGAACTCGCGGAACACCGACTCACCCATTGAGGTGGGTGGGCCTATGTCCTTGACCACGGGCTCAAGGATGCCGGCCTCCTCGAACAATTCGGCCTCTTCCACGCCCACGCCAACTACTCCACACGCCCCCCAGATGCCGCATTCTTCGGCAGCTGCGGCAGCCGCTTTTGGAAGCCACATCTTCGGCAGCTTCGGAGGAGGCAGCAACGCCAGCGATAGGTAAGTCGCTTTGCTAAGTAGATATATAGATTATGGTTATATTGATGAACCGATTTTAAGGGAATATATAGTCAATCGATTCTCATCATTCTTAAAAACACTTAAACTCAATCTTGACCTAATTGAACAATCCCACCCAATCAACGAATCAAAACTTCCGGAGAAAATCAATTCGCGGCACTATCATCCAAGTCATTTATCTTCTGGTCCGCTCAGTGGCTGAGGGAAACTCCGGACTTGGGATAGCCATTCAGCATATCCCACATAAGGCTGAGACAATAGCGGGAGTTCCGCCGATGATTAGACACTGGGCGCCCTCGAGATTGCACGTGTCGGCCATATCGATGATGGCCGGCATCATTAGTGGGGGGTCAGGGATGGGATTACTCCTTGGAACAGGATTTTCGGGGGAGGAGACTGCTCTCTTAATGTTTCCGCTGGCGCACACGACATCCGCTGACCGGAAGTGCGCCAATGGAATTTAAACGTTTTCCATCCAAAACATTAAGTAGAACGCCTTCCGCTGCGCACGCCTGTTCAATAACCCGTGAGTCGGGAAAATCCGACGGGAAAAGGACAGAAAAGGAGAGAAAAACACCGCAGGAGTCAATGGCATAAGGACACTCAGAAAAAATACTTTTAAAAAAAATATTTATTTACATATCTAAATCTAAAAAAAATAATAATAGCAATAAATATAATACTTTTTGGGCTGAGAAATCATAAGTTATAAGAAGTCAACCCCCTGAAAAGGGTTTTCCTCAGTGGAAAACAAGGGATCGAGAGTCGAGAATCGGCCGTCCAAGCATCTAATGTCATTACTGCTCTCATTGCGGTCATTGTCTGTTGCCTCCCCTAGTCCACCCGCTAATCCAACCCCCTTAATCTATTGCTAATTTAGTCATCGTCGCCAGAGAAGAAAAACCGGAGGGCATTAGACAGAGAGGCAGGACGGCAGCAGAGCGAGATGGCATCGCCCACTTAGGGGTGACATTTTGTCGCAATTTCTCGTTTTGTCGGATTTTTGTAAATATTCGCCAGGGGTTGGAAAGCAGTTTTCCCTTCTTCTGGTGGCAGTTGGTTCTGTCGCTGCTTGATGACAAAATGCGACACTTGCCATAAATTTTATTGTTTGTTTGTCTAATTCCTTTGTAAGTGGAGGCTTAATGACACGCAGGCAATTAGCAGATCGTTGGGTTTATAATCGTTTGGACCGCCCGACTGGGGGAGGGACAGGGTGAGGGTGCTGACATGGATATAGACGAGGGGTTGGGCTTCTTGCAACTACAGTAGTAATTGGCTTACATACTAATGAGCTTGAATATTTTCACTTACTTATTATTCATCTTAAATCTGGCAAAAGGAAAACTAATTTGCCAAGAAAAGAAGTCAGTCAAATCAAAACATTTCCTTGAAAAAAGCTTTATTTGGTTTAAGAAATATGAAAAGTGCATATTCATGACCTTATTATCAGTTATATATATATATATTAATTCTGGATTTCGTAAAATATACTTGTGGAATGGCAGTCAGATCTTATCAATCAACAAAGCTGAGAACAGTTGACTTCTGCTATTGTTATTTCACTAATTTGAAAGTTGGGTAAAACATAGTCCTCTCTTAAGAAGTTAAGTCAAAATCGTAGACATAGAATAAAGCCTTTCCCTTCGCCTTCTATCGCCTACTCAACATCGCCATCTGCCTGACAAATGAAAAAAAACATTTTTGTATAACAATGGTCCGCGTACATTATTCCATCATATATAGCAACACAGTGAAGCTCGGAGTCTATATACTTGGGTTCTTTTCCTGCCCACTGTATATATGGAGGAACCTTATCGGAGGCCACAGAAATGAAGTTGCCCCTCGTCGTCTTCTCATAAATACCCAGCCAGTAGTGAGTCTTTTCATGAAGATGGTCCCTTTATTAAGAGCCACTCTTTTAGGTCCTTGATGACTGCTAAGTGTCCCCCTTTCTTAATACAGGTCGATTCGGCATTGATCCAAGTCTTCCGACTGTTGTTTTCTATATAATAATACCTCGAGCCGATCTTTTTGAACCCAAGTGGTATGATTTTTGCATCTGAACTTGGTAAAACCTTCTGAATGGGTGAATAGCTGCTGTTTAAATTGCTTTGCCCAGCTTGAAGTTCGTTTTCTAGGGCTGCACTTTCAAACTTCTTAGAAAGTAGATTCTTCAATGACTCTTTAACGGAATTTTGCAGATCCTCCATCCTGTGCAGCATCGCTTCGAACTGGCTTTGTATGTTTTTCTGTTCCGCTCGAGTTTCGTTAGCTATGAGCTCCAAGACTGTGAGATGGGCTTCCATTCTGCCCACCCTCTCTACGAACTCCTGGGGTATGGCGTTCCTTAAGGACTCCTCCATTCTGTCCAGCTTCGCCTCCAGCTGGCTTTGTTTGTGGTTTTCTTCCGCTCGAGTTTCATTCGCTTTGAGTTCTTTGCAGGTGTCCCACCTCCCCTGGTTGGCAACAACGTTGTCCATCATTGTCCCTATCTTGGAGAAGAAATTAAAATTGAACTGGGTCTCAAAGTCCTTATTTTGCAAAGAATCTGCCAGAGATTTACAGCGATCCCAAGCGATTATCACGAAGAAGAAAGCGGTCAAGAACTTATACATTTTGAAATTCAACTGAAGAAGGCAACTGAGCTACTGAGGCTCCTTGCCTGCTTTTATACGGTTCTGGGAACGCTTATCAACTCCGATTTCCCATTCCATATTTTCCTTATTATATATATTTTTATATATGCTGATAATGAACTCAAATGTATTCTTATCCTTCCTTTGGAATTAAAAATAAATAAAATATTTAGTACGTTTAGATAGAAAAAGGAAATCTTTTTGACTTTCCCAAGACTGCATAAAGATTGCCAACTCTGTTTGCCGAGGCCTTTGAAGTTGAAACTTTGGATTTCTTTTTTTTTATTAATTTTCCAAGAAAATAAGTCAGTGAAATCAATACTTTCCTTAAAAAAGGCTTTCTTTTGGTTGAGAAAAATTAAAAGCTGATATTTATAACCTTATTTTATTTATATAAATATATATAGATTGTGGATTCTGTAAGATAAAGTTGTGGAATGCCAGCCAACTCTAATCAATCAACAGTACTTTATTTATTGCTCTATAAATACTAAATACCATCGGCCTGGCAAATGAAATGAAAATATTTTGAGTTACAACGGCCCACGTACATTATGCCCTCTTTTATAACAACACAGTGAAGCGAGGAGTCTACATACTTGGGTTCTCGTCAATGCCCACTGTATATATGGAGGAACCTTATCGGAGGCCACAGAAACGAAGTGACCTTTCGCTGTCTTCTCATAAATACCCAGCCAGTAATAATTGTAACTATTAAGGTGGTCTCTCATTAAGAGCCACTCTTCTGCGCTCTTGATGACTGCTAAGTGTCCTCCCTTCTCAACACAGGTCGAGTTAGCACCGATCCAAGTCTGCCTAACGTTCTTTTCTATATAAAAATACCTGGAACCGATCTTCTTGAACCCAGGTGGCACGACTTTTGCATCTGATCTGGGTAAAACCTCCAGAATGGATGAATGGCAGCCGTTTAACTGGCTTTGCATAGATAGAATTTTGTTTTCTAGAGCTGTGAGATTGGCCTCCGCCCTGCCCACATTAACCATAAGATCGCTAGATAGTAGATTCTTCAAAGACTCTTTAAAGACGTTTTGCAATTTCTCCATCCTGTCCAGCTTCGCCTCGAACTGGCTTTGCATGTGTTTCTGTTCCGCTCGAGTTTCGTTAGCTATGAGCTCTAGCGCTGTGACATGGGACTCCATCCGGCCTACCTTCTCCACGATCTCCTGGGGTATTGCTTTCTTCAAAGACTCCTGAACGGCAATTTGCCGCTCCTCCATCGTGTTTACCCTCGCCTCCAACTGGCTTTGTATATGGTTCTGTTTCGCTCGAGTTTCGTTCGCTTTGAGTTCTTTGCAGGTGTCCCACCTCTCCTGGTTGGCAGCAACGTAGTCCATCATTGTTCCCATCCTGGAGAAGCACAGAACGTTGCAACGGGTCTCGAAGTCCTTATTTTGCAAAGAATCTGCCATAGACTTATAGCGATCCCCAGCAATTATCACGAAGAAGAAAGCGGCAAAGAAGTTGTACATTTTGAAATTCTTCAGCTGAGGAAGGCAACTGAGCTGCTGAGGCTCCTTGCCTGCTTTTATACGGTTCTGGAAACGCTTATCAATTTCGATTTCATATTCCTTATTATATTTATTTCTTTCATTATAAATATTTCTCATATATTCTGATAATGAAATGGAATGCACTCTTTCACTTAAATTGTCATAAAACATTGACCATTCTCATTCCTGTGGAGTTTAAAACAAGGAAAATTTGTTGTACGAATGCATAGATCGTCTTCCTGTTGAGGGTCTAACCATCCGCCCGCAGGGTCAGTGAAATGAATATTTATTTATTTGAGAAATATAGTGATTATAAATTTTTCATTTTCATTTTCATATAAGCTCCTCCTAATCAGCAAAGCTATCAACCCTTGACTTGAGTTATTTTTATTTTGCTACTATTTATATTGGAAGGCTGATTAAATTCATATAAAAAACTGTTCACAAGGAGTTACAAAGGAAAACAAAGAAGAAACCAATTTAACAATATCTCTTACTTTTTTATTTATTTCTTCACAAATTCTAAACATCATCATCTGCCTGGCAAATGAAAAAATGGGGGGTGGTATGACAACGATCCGTGTACATAAGGCCATCATTCAGAACCACGCAGTGAAGCGATAAGTCTACATATTCAGGTTCTCCCTGTTTCCAAGATATAAATGGAGCAACCTTGCCAGAGGCCGCAGAAACAAAGTTGCCCTTCTTCATCTCCTCATGGATACCCAGCCAGTAATAAGAATGTTTATCGAGGTGGATTCCTAGTGAGACCAACTCTTCTTGGTTCTTGATGGCTGCCAGGTGTCCTCCCTTCTTGATACAGGTCGTC